CAGGTTTGTGGGGTTCTTTATTCTATTCTGATATCAGGTCAATAACAATTTCATTTCTGTAATTATACAATTTGATATTTAATGCCGCATCACCTGTAGTTACTTCTTTCTGTTGTCCGCAATATACACTCATGGACAAAATAGCAAAACTGGGTAAAACGGAACATGGGACAAGTCTATACCTATGGTCACAGCAATTGCTAACTACATATGCTAGGAGGTCAGGCAGTGAAAGAGTTATGTGATGTTTACAAACGCTGTGTAGAACTTTGTGCATTTCAAATGGAAATAGCTGCTATGTTGATACTGGATTTTATGATTTAATAGAAGTACAGAGACTCTTCTTGGTGTGTCGAATTCTTGCAGCCTGTACTACACTGACGAAAGCCAACATCCTGAAAGATACACCTAGTTATGTTATTTCTTGTTTATTCATTAAAAAGCATTCCAGAAATATAAAAAATCAACGTTTAGTTGTTATTTATTCCTATAAGTGACGCTCTCGGAAACTTTTATTTGCATAATTAGAAGATTCTATTTTAATATGCATATTCTATAAAAATAAAATGCTTTCAAAGAGCCAAAAACTCGATATTCTGTGCATCCTATGCAAAATTGTTAAGGCCAAAGGGAGAATAGAAATGTTGCTAGCTAGTACAAATGTAGTCTTCGAGGAAGTAGGGACCGCAGTTTTGATTTGCATAAAGTGCGGGGAGCGGAAGAACATGGACCCTGGGGCTATCCCATGGCCCACATCCGGGACTCATTGTCCAGGACCGGTACTCTCTTTATGGCCACGGAATTTATTCTTGGCGGTCCTTAGGCCGGGACGTGAGTTGGGTGGCTTAGGTGTGCTTGGTTATGGCCTTCAATGATTCTTGTCTGTAGGTCTTTCTGGTTATTGTAGGAATGATTTAATGATACCTGTAATTGAGTTAAATAAATTTAAAATATTTGCAGAGTTTCTTTATTAAGGTATCGGGAGACAAGCTTTCGTGCGGTCGCGCTTCATCAGGCCACTGGCTCCGCAAAGGCGTGCAACAGATACAATAGAGATTCAGAGAAATACATTTAAAAAATCAAAAATAAAAATAATTTCCAGTTTTATCAGTGGCCTGATGAAGCGCGACCGCGCGAAAGCTTGCCTCCCGATACCTTAATAAAGAAACTCTGCAAATATTTTTAATTTATTTAACTCAATTATAATATTATTTGCATCAATATTTCAAGTACAAATGATATCTGTGTTTATCTTGGTTGTATGTAGTCATCTACTTCAGTGTAGTGATATTCGTTGATGTATGTAGATATTTCTCAAAATGGTGGCCTTTTGCTGATGTCTGCATCTATCTTGGTTATATGTAGTTGTATAGTCATCTACTTCAGTAGTAGACTTTTACTCATGTGTTTAGATCTTTCATCTAGAGGTGGACTAATGCTGATGTCTTTGGTCTTTCTGGTTATTGTAGGGATTTATATAGAAGATCATTGTAAAGATTTGATGACGTCTTTATTATCTTGATTGCGTAGTTGTAGGCATCTACTTCAGTGGTAGACTTCGTATGTAGATTTATGTATGTAGATCTTTCTCAAAGTGCCGATTTTTTGCTGATGTCTGCATGTATTTCTCGTTATTGTAGGTATTTACCGTAGGTATATTGTCCGTATACACAGTCATGGACAAAACTTAAGAAAGTTGTACCTTTTAGCATGTATATCGGGATTGAGACAATAACTCTGAAAGATATTACAGTGAACTTTATTGAGATACACTATATACACTCATGAACAAAACTTAAGGAAGTTGTACCTTTTAGCATGTATATCGGGATTGAGACAATAACTCTGAAAGATATTACAGTGACCTTTATTGAAGACACACTATATACACTCATGGACAAAACTTAAGGAAGTTGTACCTTTTAGCATGTATATCAGGATTCAGACAATAACTCTGAAAGATATTACAGTGACCTTTATTGAAGACACACTATATACACTCATGAACAAAACTTAAGGAAGATGTACCTTTTAGCATGTATATCAGGATTCAGACAATAACTCTGAAAGATATTACAGTGACCTTTATTGAAGACACACTATATACACTCATGAACAAAACTTAAGGAAGATGTACCTTTTAGCATGTATATCAGGATTCAGACAATAACTCTGAAAGATATTACAGTGACCTTTATTGAAGACACACTATATACACTCATGAACAAAACTTAAGGAAGTTGTACCTTTTAGCATGTATATCAGGATTCAGACAATAACTCTGAAAGATATTACAGTGACCTTTATTGAAGACACACTATATACACTCATGAACAAAACTTAAGGAAGATGTACCTTTTAGCATGTATATCAGGATTCAGACAATAACTCTGAAAGATATTACAGTGACCTTTATTGAAGACACACTATATACACTCATGAACAAAACTTAAGGAAGTTGTACCTTTTAGCATGTATATCAGGATTCAGACAATAACTCTGAAAGATATTACAGTGACCTTTATTGAAGACACACTATATACACTCATGGACAAAACTTAAGGAAGTTGTACCTTTTAGCATGTATATCAGGATTCAGACAATAACTCTGAAAGATATTACAGTAACCTTTATTGAAGACACACTATATACACTCATGAACAAAACTTAAGGAAGTTGTACCTTTTAGCATGTATATCGGGATTGAGAAAATAACTCTGAAAGATATTACAGTGACCTTTATTAAAGACACACGAGATAACCAAGTGTGAACAAAATTGTCTCTATCTCCTTAAAAAAAAGCAGATGACAGTCGGCATAAAATTTGAAACGTCCTTAAGTCCATGTGTATATAAAGCTATTTAGCTTAAGGAAAATGCATTTCATATACAATTTGTAGAGATCAAATATTTGTTACATTTCCCAAAAAGCTCTTTGAAATGCCTTGCAAGACATTAAAAGATAAGACCATAAATAAATGTATTTAAAACAGATATATAAGGTCAAATAAATTAAAATTTAGAAATCCAAATAGGAAAAAAAGCCTATTAAATTCACACGTCTCTTGCAAAATCTTTATGGCCTTTACATTATTCATATTCATACCATTCCATTTATTTATTGGATGGCCTTGTCCTTTCTTTAGCCAATCAAATCTTCAATATTTGTCCTTCTCTTCGTCTGGCATTCTTTGTTCTTTTCTTCAAATTTGAACTTATTTTTTTAGCATTTATTTGTGAAAAATAGTACAAAAGGTGAATTTGTTTTTGTTTTTTTTTTTGCTTATCCCTAGTACACGTGGTACAGGTCATGATAATCATGGTGGGTAGTTAGCGACTGCTTTTACTGTAAGTACACCACATGTCTACACATGTGAAAAGCAGTTCGACTTTGCACTTACAAATGTGCCAGAGCCCCGTTTGGTTACTTGCATTCGCTGGTGGGGTTGGACTTTTATAAGAATCGGGGGCCATTGGAGCAATTTTTTTTTTTTTAACAGAAAAAAAGTGTCCAATGCGGGAATTGAACCCGGGTCGTAGTGGTCGAAAACCAAACGGTTTAACCAGCCTTCTATATTAACATCGCAAATGGATGACCCAATCAAACCGAACGTAATACCACTGGTGCAACACCTCGGGATTCAGCAAGCCATCAGGATAGGTTGGGAGGGGCACTAGGGGATCCTCACAAACACGAATATTCTGTGACACAATTTTATTATGTAACAAATGAAAACATTCAGAATGTTTTTATTTCACAAATAAATAAAACTCTTTTTTACTGTCCTCTTAATGCGATGAAATAATATTGGGGAGGGGCTTGACTCATCACTGTTGAATCCTCCCAGCGGTTTCGCCAATTTAATCTACCAGACAGCTATTTTTAGAGCTTTAATACTGTATTGACTCATTCTGCTTATATATGCAACACTGAAGGGTGGAAATGTTATTTGCATATAACCACAAAATTTTATATATACAGTTAAACCTATCTATAGCGCTCCCTCTAGGGACTCACCAAAATAGGGTGCTATAGAGAGGGGGTGCTATAGACAGGTAACTTTTAATGTAAATCGCATCGTACTACAGTTAAACCTGTCTATAGCACCCCCTCTTGGGACTCACCAAAATAGGATGCTATAGAGAGGGGGTGCTATAGACAGGTAACTTTTAATGTAAATCGCATCGTACTACAGTTAAACCTGTCTATAGCACCCCCTCTTGGGACTCACCAAAATAGGATGCTATAGAGAGGGGGTGCTATAGACAGGTAACTTTTAATGTAAATCGCATCGTACTACAGTTAAACCTGTCTATAGCACCCCCTCTTGGGACTCACCAAAATAGGATGCTATAGAGATAGGGTGCTATAGACAGGTCACTTTTAATGTAAATCGCATCGTACTATGTATTAAAATCGGGCGTTATAGAGAGGAAGGTGCTATTTAGAGGGAGCGCTATAGACAGATTTAACTGTATTTTAACTTCTATATTTTAGCTTCATCACTTAAATATAATATTAAGTTATTGAACACCTTCAAAGCAGTGTATGAAATTTAAAAAATAAAAGATAAAAAACACTTAGCTACATGGTTTTAATAACAGACGATTTCCTTGTTGAAAAAAAAAAACGGCTGGGAACGCCATAAATTTGGAATCCGCTAAAAAAGAGTTACTGCAATTTATCTTTACCGGAAGAAATGTCCAGGCAATCTTTTACCTTTATTTCCCTGACTATATATATATCCAATATGTCTTCTGCTTCAAATAATTCTTACTAACTTCGTCTGCAATTTTATTACCTTTATGTTCTTATTTCGTTTGCTTTTTTTTTTTTTTTTTAATTCGGAAGATTTTTCGTTCTCGTTTTTGGATTATAACGTTTTTTTTTTTTGTTTTTTTTATTAAGAAGAAGAAAAGAAAGGGCATCACCTTATCTTGCAATTGAAAGTCTCTGATGGCTATCGGAATAAATATCAACTATTCATTGATTTTTTTTAATTATTCCAGAATTTGTCAAATACCCATTCTTGATTAATCAAGAAAAGCTAACCACGTACGTGTTTCGGGCTGTTGGCCCTCATCAGCGTGATGCAAGCTGTACATCAACGACCAAATAATTGGTCATTCAGGCATCCTGAAAAATCATGAAAGGGGTAGTTATGGCCAGAAATGCGTGAAAACACAAAACAATGTGAAAAAAAAAAGTACAAATGTGATACTGGGATAATATTTTTTCACGCTTTTTATAATATAAAAGGATTTAAAAGCGCGAATGTTTCTTTTGCTCGAAGCAAATATTTGAATGTAATTCTACTGTCCTATAAGCTTATGTCCATAGTTTACTTGAAAACCATTTCTAAGATTCCATCTTTCAGTGTAGCATATAAAAGCAGAATGATCCAATACAGTATTAGAGCTCTGAGAAACGGTCTGGTGGATTAAATTGGCGAAACCGCTGGGAGGGTTCACCACTGATGAGCCAAGCCTTCCCAATATATTTTTTCATCGCAGTAAGGACAGTAGAAGTTTGTTTTATGTATAAAAGAAACATTCGTGCTTTTAAATCCTTTTATTTTATATGTATAGATGGCGCGTTATTGCTTTTTATAATGTTCGTTTTTTTTTTCTTTCTTTATAAATTTTCTTCTGTTTATTATAGTTTTGTAATTTTTTTTATCTATATATAAGGAATGGAAGTATTTGATCAAGAATGTTTCTTTTTCATGCAAATCAAAATTTTCTACTGTCCTTACTGCGATGAAACAATATTGGAAGGGAAGTAAGGACAGTAGAAATTTGATTTATGTGAAAAAAAGAAACATTTGTGATTAAATACTTTTATTTCTCTTATATATAGACTAGCCGAATGACCCGGGCAACGCCCGGGTTTTACCCGATTAAATGTTTTCATTTAAATACTATTCGTTACAATTATAAATTGGCGCCGTGGATGTCACTCTTGTGAAACGTCCCGCTCTAAACTTTGTGTCTGAGAAGCGATATTTTTATAGAAAGATGATCTGGCTTTTGTTTTCTGCTCGAATGAATGTTTTTCTGTTAGAATTTTGTTCCTGCGTACAAAATAATGAACTGGTTTCACCCGTGGTCTCTGCTTTTTGGAATTTTTCCCGATATAATTTTGTATCTGATAATCAAACATGATACAGCAATATCGTCATCATCATTTTCTGACTAAAAATATATAGTTTTAATAATTGATTTATATATTTTTTTAAAATAGCCTATCGTCTTCCCCGTATTTTTTTACCTATGTATGGAAATTTTGGTTTGAATTAGTGAACTAATGCGAATTTGTATACCGGACATACAAACAAACAAACAACATTCATTTTTATATATATAGATGGCGTGTTATTGTTTTATATAAATTTTCTATCTATATAAATACAATGCCTGTCTGTGTTGCATGGTGTCAACTTGGAAAGTGG